ACCTTTTTGGAATAAGTGATAGAGCTATCTGTTGTCACTCCTTTGGATTCAGCTGTTTAACTATGTGGAACATTTACGGCACTGGCTAGGAAGGGCTGCAACTGAATTTTTGAAATTAGTTTTTTGAAATTTGATCCCAGTATCTGTATTGTCAATAACAAAGTTCCTACTGAATATTGTGCATCATGATTAACACTCTGCCTCCGAAAACGGATGCATGTGGAATGCCAGAGAGTATTTGACGCGGCTCGCTATTCTTGGTACTATTACTTCAACGTTGATTCCTTGGCGTTCAGGCGGTTTCCGGCGCTGTTGGTTTCGTTAAAGACACATTCCATCATGGAAAAGATAAAGTCGAAGATGCCAAAGAGCACGTCCAAGAGGTTCTTCTATCAGCCTAGCTTAGCCTAGCTAGCTTCTTAGCCTCTTAGCCTAGCCTACTTCTTAGCCTTCCTTAGCCTAGCCTGCTTGCTTTCATAACATCATGTTGATCTTGAGATCATATTTGATAGAATCGTTTTACAGGTAGCTTCCGATGCAGCGGAATCCGCGAAGCACAAATTGGAGGAAGCCAAGGATAAGGCCTCGGAATGGACTCACGATGTGCAGATGGTGTGTTATTGCGACCCGATCTTTTCGCTCAAAAAATAGAATAATTGACGGGTGTTTTAGGCGGGCAAAGACGCGAAGGACTCTGTGTCGAGGACTTTGGACGATACATACAAGGCTGCTGGTGAATGGAAAGACGAAGCTGCACAGAAAGCTGAGGATTTGAAGAGCAGTGCCGAAAAGGTGAGTAACCCAGACGCTAAAAAACCTCATCGAAGCGTCACATAGCAAACTTCTCAAAAGGGGAGATCAATATATGAAGACTATTATTTTACGAGCTTGAGTGCTTTTTCAGTTATTGAACATCTTTCTGCTAGGTGGAGTCCAGGCCCACACGGCTGTTTAGTAGATTTCAGGTGGTCTCTGATGCAACGGAGGCTGTATCGCATAGCTTAGAGGAGGCGAAGGAAAAGGTGGAAGAGTTCAAAGACGAAGCCGAGAAGGTTCGCTCAATGAATGGATTAGGTCCATTCCCAAGAAGCAGGGGTCATGGGGAAACTGCTTTTCAAAGACGAAATGCTTGAAAAGTGAGCTTTCAGGCTGCGCATGACGCCAAGGAGGCCGCTGCCGACGGGGTCGAAGAAGCGCAGAAGAAAGTTGAAGGATGGAAGAGTGAAGCCGAAAAGGTTTACTTCCTATTCTATCATTCTCAGTTATCCACGTGGTACACTTCACTGTGAAGTTAAGAGCAATCGTTCTGTAGGCCGCTGAAGCCGCTAAGGATTCCGCTGCTCATGCCGTAGACAGCGCAAAGAATACAGCGTCAGAGTGGAAAGACGATGCGAAGGAAAAGCTCTCGGAATGGGGCAGCGAAGCTGAAAAGGTGGGGTGGGCATGTTGACATCTGTCTGAGGGAAATCGTTCAATGATTCTATCAATAGACTCTTGATAGATCTCCTTCTGTGCAGGCTGCGCATAAGCAAGGAGGCCGCTGCGAAGGGCTGAGAAGCGCAAAAGATCGAGGTGGAAGAGGAAGCTGCAAAAGGTCTTCAGTTCTAATCTACCATATCGTAGCATTGATTCTGTTTAACATGGTCCATTTCTCTGTAGCCGATACGAGGGAAATCACCGTGTTTCAGGCCGCTGAAGCCGCTAAGGATTCTGCTGCTCATGCCGTAGACAGCGCAAAGAATACAGCATCAGAGTGGAAAGACGATGCGAAGGAAAAGCTCTCGGAATGGGGCAGCGAAGCTGAAAAGGTGGGGTGGGCATGTTGGCCTGTCTGAGGAGAAGCCCTAGATTCCTTAAAGCAACAGTTCAGGGAGGGTCCGAAAATTTCAATGCCACTACTACTGAGGGATACACGAGCCCTAGTGAAGAACATATGCAGTGGAAATAATAAACGAACTTACCTCAGAAACTCAAAAACAGGGTGGAAAGTCCCTCAAACATGGGTGTTCTTGGGGATTTCCCCAATCCCGCCCCCTTGCCGGCCGTCATTGGACGCGTCGGCAATCGTGCTCGTTTTGGGACCACAGGGAAAATTGATTGAAAAATGGAGCGCGTTTACAGCGGGCACGTTCAGACAACTCGTCCAACGTGCGTCTTTATCCATTGCTGAGCGGCAGAGGGAGAGTACCTGTCTAAGACCCTCCCCGACGTTTTTTTCCAGTTTTTCATACATTAATCGTCTGGTTTTCATCTACAACTTCATTATTGGTGGTTTTTTCCCGCGAAACCGTTCCTGAACTGTTGCTTTAATACCCCGATAGATTCCTTCCCCAGGCTGCGCATGACGCCAAGGAGGCCGCTGCCGAAAAGGTCAAGGAAGCGCAGAAGAAGGCTGAAGGATGGAAGAGTGATGCCGAAAAGGTTTTTAGTGTTTATCCTCACAGTCACAGTATTCCTCCGGTCGATTTACTATGTAAGGTCGAAGGAAACGAGCGTTTTCAGGCTGCCGAATCCGCTAAAGATTCTGCTGCCCATGCCGTGGATAACGCAAAGAATACAGCATCAGAGTGGAAAGCCGACGCAAAAGAAAAGCTCTCGGAATGGGGCAGCGAGCTGAAAGTGGGGTTGCCGTTTGAAACGTGTTTTCAATGAAGCAAATGTGCCCACTTCACTGTTTTTTCTGACCCACCTAGCGGCTTATTCTTTGAACAAAATACTGAGTAGACCTTTTGAGTGTAGAGGAGATCCGTTCAGATCAGTTCTCCGTTCGAGACCGTCAGCCTGACATATTTTTTCAGGCTGCACATGACGCCAAGGAGGCCGCTGCCGAAGGGGTTGAGGAAGCGCAGAAGAAGGTTGAAGGATGGAAGAGTGAAGCTGAAAAGGTTTTTGCTTTGTATTCTGTTTGGTCGCATCGAAAGTAACTGCGGTTTTCACCCAACGCTTTGCTGTTGACAAAACCAAACCTTACCCACTGTGTGCCTTAAGGGCTAACGACCGGAACTGATACGACTGATAGGGAGACGAGATGGCCATCCCTCTTTGTTACATTCTCGTTGACCATAATACATTAATCGGTTCATTTTCTTCGAAAATAACACTTTTTCCAACTAAAATTCATTTCAAACAATCAGTTGCACTATTACTAACAGCTGTCCGCCACGACCCAACCAGGGCTGGAGTGCCTTTGCTTCAGAAATGGACAAGTTTCAAACCGAAGGAGTGTTTCATGTCCGTTTCCGTGTGCTGGCTGGCGATAATTGGAATTTCTTATCCTTCTAGGAACTATGTCAGCCAACGAAGCAGGTGGTATTCTGTTGGAGGGAGGTCTGTCGAACATTACGGGTGGGACAGATCCACGGAGGCAAGTTGTTGTACGGTTTCCTGACCCTCCTTTGCAGTCGGTACCATGTAGCTCAGAAATTTCCATCCATAAGAAGCCACGACTTTGCGTAATCTACAACTGCAAGCAGTATCTGCTAATCAACATGGTACTATCATTGGATCTCTTCATTTTCTTAGTAATGATGTAGTGGGCCAAAAAAGGGGCAAATCCAACCTTGAGGATGGGTCGGGTCTCGATTTTTTGCTGTTGGATTGCATCTATCCATGACCCCTCTCTGATTGTTTGCATAGTCTGCTACTTTTCATACCCGGCGACTCTTTGTCGATCCGATTGAACAGTAGTGCCCTTAAAGCAGGATT